GAAGGGCTTTACGTTTCTGTATGGATTTGACATCAGCTGTCATCATGGCAAAAAGAATGAGTTCTTTTGAAATTGGAAAGCTGTTCATTTCTTTGGCAGATTTTTTGTTTCATTTAGCAGCCTTGGAGCTCATGGAATATGTCATTTGAGTTATTTAAAATCTAAACTCAAACTTGTAACTCTCAGTGATCTACAACAGCTGCAGAGCAGGAAGGAGAGGTGTGCTCCAGTTGACTCAGACAGCAGGGCTCTTGCACAGAAGGTAGAGTTGTGCCAGGGTTCACTCTCTGGGGACCATGGTCTCGGGGAACATCTAGCTCAATTGGCATGACACTACTTATAAAGATAATGCTCTACATTCTACCTTGGTGAGTAGTGTCTGGGGTCTTAAAAGCCTGTGAGCAGCCATCTAAGATACTCCACTGGTCTCATCCCTTTGGGAGCAAGGGAGAATGAAGAGAACAGGATACAGGGAAAAGATTAGTCCAAAGGACTAATTGTCCACAGCTACCAAGACCTCCACCGGACTGAGTCCAGTACAGCTAGATGGTGCCCGGCTACCACCGCTGACTGCTCTGACCACGATCACAACAGAGGGTTCTGGACAGAGCTGGGAGAAGGATGTAGAGCATAATTGTAACTCACAAAAAAAAAAAAGACCAGATTTACTGGCCTAAAGGAGACTGGAGAAATCCCGAGAGTATGGCCCCCAGACACCCTTTTAGCTCAGTGGTGAAGTTACCTTCGAGGTTCACTGTTCAGCCTGGGAGTGGACAGCCCAGTAAAACCATGAGAGTAACGAGGTACAGGAGTCCAGTGATAAGGCCCAGAAGGCAGAAGGGGAGTAGGAAGTTGATGATAGGGAACCCAAGGCTGAGTAAGGATATTGTTGATGTGTTGTGAGATTGTTAACCATTGTCATAGGGCAACATTTGTAGTAACTGTTAAATGGGAGACTATTTTGTCCTGTAAACCTTCATCTTAAGTGAGAATAACAGCACAATTAGAAGAGCGTAGTCAATGTCACTTAAATGTGTATGTAAAAAAAAATTTTTGAAATGAAAAAAAAAAATTGTGTTCTTTCATTACAGCAAACAAATTGGAGCAGTAATGTCACCCTCTAAATGGTGGGAATCTATATCTGCACTATAGAGTTTTTGTCATATAATGTTTACTAGACAGACTAGCAGTGTGTGCAGTACTTGGAGGGCTTTGTTGTAGACTTGGGGAGAAAGGAGGAGATCACTGTGTCTTTGCGCTTGTAATTTGGTTGGCGCATTGCTTTCATTTCCTGGAAAGATCCCAAAGGGACTACATAGTAGACTAGATCTCATTTGTGGTAGTTAAAGCAATTCTTCTCACAAGACTTCTTAGCCCTGTGCTCCCACTTCTTTCCCTACTGTGAGTTGTTTCATGAAGAGAGGCCCCACAGAAATTCTGCCTATTTAGTTGCCCACCCCTTTAAATACTAACATAAGCTTCCACTTACTGAGCTTTTTCCTATGTGTTGAGCTGCTTTATAGACATATCTCATTTAATCCTCATGACTGCTCTTTGGCGGGCATTGATATCCCTTTACATTGCAGATGAGAGAACTGAGGCTTGGAGAACGTAAGCAGCATTCCCACGTGGTGGTAGAGCCTGGACTCAAACCTGGGTTTGTCAGGACCAGAGCCTGGGCTCTCCCACTCTACTAGGGTGCTCCATCTCAGGTAATGACAGCATCAGCCACACAGTTGCTCAAGCCAAAAACTGAGTTGACTCCTTTCTTTCCTTCACCCTTCCCTTCCGCTCTCTCAGCCCTCTCTTCTAAATGTGTGCCAGGTCTAGGATCTCCACATCGCCACCTTAATCCAGGCCACCACCAGCCCTTGCCTGGAACACTGCTGCAGCCTCTTCAAATGGTCTTCTTGCTTTCGTTAGAGTCCATTCTCCCCACAGCAGTGGAACACTATTTTAAAAATCTAAATTTGATCGAATCACTTCCCTGTTTAAAACCCCCAGTGACTGCCCAGTTGTAGTTAGAATAAAACCTAACCTTTAACATAGCCCAGTGATTGAGCTCCTGCTGCCTCTCTCACCTCATGTCCCCTGTCTGTGTTGCAGCCAAACTGTCCTCCTTTCTGTCCCTCAGGCTCACCAAGCTCATTCCAGCCTTTGCACTGGGTCCCCTGCTCAGAGTGCTGTTCCCCTGATCTTTGCCTGACTGGCTTCTTCTCCTCATGTGGGGCTCTGCTCAGATATTGCCTCCTCAAAGAAGCCTTCTCCGATCACCCTATAAAGAAGCACTTCCTCATCCTCACCCCCAGCCTGTCCCAGTTCCTAAATTTATTCTCTTCGCAGTGCTTTCCTTTCTTACCGTCTTACTCATTGTTGTAGCCCTAGTGCCAGAACAGTGCTTAGAACAGCGTGGATGCTCAGGACATAATTGTTGAATGAAAGCAAACTTATGCTGTTCCTTTGCCTGGAGAGTTCTGGGTCCCCCCACCCACTTCTCCTGCCCCCATTCACGTATTTAACTCCAGAGTATCCTTCAGTTCTGGCTCAAAGATTACTTCCTTCGGGAAGCTTACTATAATCCCCTGTTATAATGCTTTCTACTTTTCCTTCATAGCCCTTATCACCTATTTGTGTGGTTATTTGATTAGTCTGCCTCCCCGCACCAGACTGTCATCTCCATGAGGACAGAGGGTGGTTTGCTCACTGCTTTACTCCCAGTGCCCAGCACGTCCATTTGTTGAGTAGATGGATGGACAGAGCAATGAATCACTATGCTTCTCACAACTTGGGCCACACTTGGAATGTATGTGCCCCAAATGAATAAGCAAGGAGTTGCCATAGTATTCATGATTCCCCTTCAGTAATTTGATCAGCTTGTTAATGAAGATAGACTATGGAAATACGGAAAGTCTTGGGAATCTCCTGGACCAGCACAGGTAACCCCACTTCTGCTGCCTTGATTGTTGCTTCAGTGCTGCCTTTTATGTTTCACTTCTTACTACTTATATCCACTCTTTTGACATTTGCCACCAGTAAGCATACAGCCCAGGAACACCCTTAGTCTACTTTACCAACCTCTGCTTTTTATCATGATTTCAAAAAAATACATTTCCTGAGCATATTCAGTAGCCTTCCCCCACTGATCTTCTACTTTTTCCAGTCTCTCCAACAGCTAAATCATGAAATCTGATTGAATAAACAAGAACTGAGACAACATGAACCATATTCTTGCCTTCAGGCCTTCACGAGTTTTCCATCTTCCTGAAACCTTATTGTCCACACCAACGCCAGTCTGGCTAAAACTCTCACTTATCCTTCAGGCCCCAAATTAGAAGTCCCTTCTTCTGGGAAGCCTTCCCTGCCACATTTTCCCATCCTATTCTCTATGTTCCCTAAAATATTACAGTTGCCCATTTATTTGTCTTCTCCCCACTAGACTCCCTGATGGCAGGGACCGGGTCTGTCTTGTTCCCTATCCTGTCTCTGGTGCCTGGCATATAATAGGTGCTCAGTAACTGTGAATGAATTAAAATGCCAGATATGCTTGAATCCAAGAAGAAACTACAAAATTACTATTATGTGTTCTGGATTATAGGCAGAAGTCTATAATAAGTCCCATTACAACAACCACAGCAAAATCTCCTTGAGAAAAGTCACTTCCTAGCTTCTGAATATGATCACTATTTCAGAATACATCACTGAGTAGGACCACAGGGTAGTGGGAAAGCTGAGGCATGGAGACCTGGGCTTTAGCTCCAACTTTGCTGCGATGGCCAAATAATCTAGCTTTTCTGAGCCACAGCAGCCTCACCTGCTGAATGAGGAAATAGTCACAGGACTCTTTAAAGGATCAAATGTGACAAAGCATGTGAAACATTAAAGCGGCACAGGATACATATAAGGGGCGTCAGTCATGATAATTCCAGTGCAACAATAGAATTGAGGCAGCTCTTCAGAAATTTTTACAGATTTGACCTAGAGATATTGTTTATGCCTGGGAGCTGGGAGTTTTACCAGAAAGGAAACCAAGTGGATATGCAGGATAAAAGGGATTGGTTGGTGCTGGGGATGAGGGGAAGGAGCAAGGAATGGCACTCTGGAGAAAAGATGCCAGGTGGAGGGGAGTTTCTGAATGTATTTGTGACCGTTTTAGCATATACCAGTGGAGCAACTTAAGATAATCCCTATATCAGGAGGGACAGCAGATGGCCTGTAGTGTGAATGCCTCTGCCAAGTGCCAGGACATCAACTGAAGATGTTACCAAACAAACAAACAAAAACTAAACTAAACACACAAAAAGACAAAAAAATACACATTTAGGCTTTAAGACTATTCTGCTTACATTCATTTAAACCACTTAATTCTTGGCCAGAATACTTGGATGCTATTATACAGGTATAACCTCAGTGTATGAAGAAAGCCTTGTGATCACTGCATTACCTTAAGGTGATCATTAGTAGGACAATGATTTTGCAGTGAGAAATAATACGGTCTCATAACCAAGCAAGCATTTCAAATTGAGACATTTTAAACTCTGGCTTCTTTGCCTGATGGAAAAAAAAAAAAATCCCTATAAACTTAAAACTATGTTTAGAAAGCAATATTTCTTTGAAAGCAATGTTTCTAAACTCTAGTTATCTTTTTTAACGATTGCTGATATTTTGGGGAGAGGAGATTAGTGAGAAAGGGAACCCACCAAGCCTAAGCGTCAACAAAACAAATTTAAAAAATCGTGAATTAGTTAATAGCATCGAATTCCTGATTACTGGCCCAATGGTGGATTTGGGGATCAGGCTGTTAAGCTCTGTGATTCTGAATCTCCTGGTCCTTTGTAGATGTGGACAGCAAGTCCATTATGTCAAGTCAGCTAACTGAAGTTAAAAGCTTTGTTGAAAATCTTTCAGTGATAGAAACAGAATTTGAATTGTTGCGCTAAATGTTTTTCATCTATTGCTAAGTCTACCAGGGTTGATGATAACATCTCACATCTTCTTAATAGAAAAAACTTGAGTCTCCACCCCCATCCACCAACCCCTTCCTGGAAGATGAACCAGCACCAGAGATGGAGGAATTGACGATGGAGAAAGGAGATTTAGACCAAGTAAGTCTGGTTTTGCATTACCGTGTGTAACCTACCAAATGTTTGTTTGAGAAAATGGGGCAGCTTTCTCCAAATATGATCCTTTGGATATTGACCACGTTCAGAGATTACAACTTTGGTGGTCTTTCTAGAATGACTTTTCTGAAAGTGCATTTAGAAAAGTGAGTGGAAGAGCAATTCTCTTGCCCCACCCCTCTGCTCCTGAAAAGCCTAACCCCACCAGATTTAGCAGCATGCACAAGCTTAATTAGCCCACCTGGTGGTGCCTGCAGAGTTCTGCTCTGCCTCATTCATCATCTCCTGACCTTGCCAGTTTAGCTTTCGGTTGCACTCTCATCTGGGCTGGTGATGATGGGAAAGGCGGAAAGCTCCTCAGTGAAGTTAGCAGCACTGCACGTTCAGAGAGGCCTCTGCTCAGTTGTAAGCTGATCACTTTGGGTCTGGAAGCCATTGGGCAGGCCTGGAAATACTAAGGTGACCAATGGCATATTTGGGGAGCTCCTTTTCAGAGCACACTAGCACTTTAATTTCCTTCTAATTTTTCTGTCCAACTCTAAATTTCCTCTCCCTTTATCCTACAGAATGGTGTTTTTGTTTCACTGCCATTTTATGACGAGAGAGGTTAGAGCAGTAAATGAGAACTTTTCCTTCTGGATTAGTGATCCTTCTTTTTAATTTTCCATACTTGGATGCTAGAAGATTATTTTATGGTATTGTTTGCTCCAGATACAACTGAAAAGGAGACTGTCTAGGAAGACCAGCTTTGGGAAACCCATAGTCACACACTTTGCAGCTAACCCTGTGCTTCTAGCACGGTGGGGTAGTTGTGCAATCCTGGCATAGCTATGAGGGCAGATTTTCCAGGAGCAGTTCTTAAGTGATACAGTAAAATGTATCTGGTTCACTGATTAAATAATTGTAATAATATGGGTAGCTCACATTTTTTTAGGGTGCCAGCACATACTATTAAGTGGTTAATAAATAAATAATATTAAGTGGTTAATAAATAATAATTAAGTGGTTAGAAACCCCACAGGTGGGAAAAGGAAGTGGTACCTGTATGTACCAGCAGGGATGAAAGGGTTAAAAATTTTTTACATGCCTTAATTCATTTTTACAATGTCTCCCTCTGATTTTATAGGTAAGAAACTGCAGCTCGTAGAGGTTAAGTGATTTGCCCAGGGTTACACGGTTTATAAAGGGAGGAGGTAGGACTGGAAGCCAGGTGTCGAAGTCATAAACTAGAATTCCTTTCCCATTGCTCTTTTTTATTACACCTTGATATCTCACTAAAGAGTGGAGGGTATAGAAATGAATCCCATGAATAAAACTAAGTGAACAAAACTGAGGGGCTATCTTGAGGTTGTATCCTGGAGATCTGTAGGATTTCACATAATTTGTTTAAAGCTATCAAATTATTGGCTAGCACAGAGAAGACAAGATTTCTTGTAACTACAGAAATGCGCGCCTCATATTTTGGGAGGGGAGATTGGGATGAAGGCGGAGTCTGGACGTCAATCTCATTCCTTTGGTCTGTCCCCCACCCACACCAGGTCACCTGTGTCCTGTGAGCATACTTGGTGTGGTAGTGTCGTTTGTAGGTCCCTCATGCCTCCCTTTTGCTAGTGGCTGCCATTGTCACATCTAGAGTTGTGCAGTTGATCACTCAGGTGCTTTTAGTGCTGTCACAAAAAGTGATCCTTTCAGTAGTCATCCTGGATGTTATTAAACCAGATTATGATGGAGAGTTGCCCTTTACCTATGAAATCAGTTTGGCCAGATAAAATAGGATTTTTCTTTCTCACAGAACTTTTTGCTCCTTATAGAAGCTTGAGGATACTGTTGTAAGAACCGAGACCTTCTCGTTCTAAGTACACAGAACACTGATATCTCACAAATGCATGGGTAAAACAGTCATGTAGTAGGGAAAACTCTGGACTCTGGTCTGCCATTAACTGACCGTGTGACCTTAGAGAGGTTGTTTACTCTGTCTAGAGTTCCCTCGTTTCTTTATCTGTAAAGATGGCCTAATGGTTTTCAAACTGTATTCCTGGGTGCCCCATCAAATGTCACTGTGGGGAGTTAGGAGGAGACCATCGGCCAGGGTCCCTCCAAACAGAGCTGTTCCATTTTGAGTACTTTGTATAGTGGACTTTTAGGTAAAATTTCTTTTGAACCAGGGGTTTCAGGTCTGTTTTTAAAAAAGACTAAAATCCCCGGGACTAGATGATCCATCCACAAGTTCCATGGGCTGTTACTCATAAGTAATAAAACTTGTACACCAGTGACTAATACCTCCTCGTATGCCATCATTGGCCTCCCACGGCCTTACCAGCAGTTGTCTTGCTTGCGGCTGATTAGGTGGCAGCTCCAGGATCTCCTTCTTCCCAGCAGCTTAATGGCTTGTGGAGTTGGGAGCAGGAACCCTGAGGGGTTCTGGGAGGGACTCCTTAGGATGCTAGTGGTGAACCCAGCTAGATGTGGTCAGGGCATTTGCCCCTGGGTCACCCAACCCATTGCATTGCTCACAATGCACAAGGTACAAGTTGCTCGCTACTGCAGTTTAGGGCTGGCTAGTGAGAAGGGAGAGTGAGCTTGAAAAGAAGTATTTAGTTGGTGAGAGGGCTCGGACAGTTTCCTAGACATTCCCAGTGATGAAAAATGGCATCTGAAAGGGGAATGAGGGTGCTCAAAGTATCAAAGAAAGACAGCGAAGAAATAAGGAATTTCTGGTTTAAAAATGTACCCTTCTGGTGATCCGAGTAGTTAGATTTAATCTGTTTACATTGGATAGTAATAAAAGGAAATGGGACCAGCTGCAGACCTCCTTACTGTGACAACAGTAACCTTTTATTATTCCATCAAACTCCAGGAGGAAATAGCTTAAACATCTGCAGCTTTTGGACAGAATTCACACACTCAGAAATCCAGGCCAAATGCTACTGCTAAATGACTTAGTATATTCTTTAAGCTGAGAATCAACACTTTGGGGAGCTGGACTGTGCAAACGGAGACACCAGTTTGAGCTAAAATTCCAGCATCTATTATCTGAACATGAGCACATTCATAAAGCAGCTTTAGGCAGCAGGCAACCCGGCGCGGGGCGGGGTAGGGGGGAGTAAGAGAAAGAAAACTTCAGGAAATCCCTCTTGCTTGCAACTTCCCTAAAAGTGCTGCAAGGGGCCTTAGGAGCTGTGGTGACAAGATCCAGTGGTCTCTCCTCACTGCAGAAGAGAAGACATAGCAGGCAGAGGCAGGGCGGAATGCAGTCACTGTCCGAATGCCAGATTCAGTGTGTTCCATGGGGCCTCATCATGCCCAGGACCTGTGGAAGACTGATCAAGATGAGTGTGTTGGAATATCACATACCCGTTTTTGTTTTAATCACTTAGAATTTTTATTTTACACTTATTTAATGAGTCCTTCAGACTTAGACATAGATTTTTATCATATATCACTCTTGTACATACATAAAAAGGAAAACATAAGTAAAATAAATAGGTTAAGATATCCATAAAACTTCCCCTTCAGAGTCCAACTCTTCTATACTACTTTCCTTTAACTTTATTTTGAAACAATTGTAGACTCACGAGAAGTAACAAAAATAGTACAGAGAGGTCCTGTGTACCCATCTCCCAGCTTCCTCCAGTGGTGACATCTAGCATAACTATAGTGCATTATCAAAACCACAGAATTGACTCAAACTGCTTTTTCACTCGGGCATGGGTATCTGTGTTTCCCCACACAGTATCATCCTCCTTGCACAGATGTTGGGCAGGCAGCATTTCTTAAAGAGTGCTCCACTGCTATCTCTGGGATTTTCTGCCAGGCCTTGGACACCCACTCCCCAAGTTTTTTGTTATTTTCTACTTTTTTTTTTAAGTACTTGCAAACTTAGAGAAAACGTGTAACAATATTGCAAGGAACTCCCAAGTACCTCTCACCTGGATTCACCATTTGTTAACATTTTGCTACATTTACATTTATTTTATCATTCCCTCCCCACTTCTCTTTCTCTGTCCTTGTCTCTTTCTGTCTCTCAGAATGATTTGTACGTTGCAGGCATCATGTCTTTATTTCTGACTATTTCGGGATGTATTTCCTAAGAAGGACATTCACTTGTATTACCACGGTGCAGTCATTGAAATCAGGAACGTTAACATTGATACAATACTACTATCTAATCTACAGACCGTATTTAAACTCCATCATATTGCCATTTTAAAGTGATAAATTAAAACATATTGTCAAGAGTTGGAAAAGAGCACATAAATTAGTAAGTAAATAAAGCCTAATACAAAATATTCATGTTGATTTAAGACATCACATTCTATATTATGTAAACTCCCATTTATAATTATAAGAAGTTATCCTACAGAAGTGTGAATATTTTTCTTCAAATGAAGAGAAAAAAAATTTTTTTAAGAGAATGCATATAATACTTATGATTATTTTTAATGATGTTTGTAATTTTAATTAATAAAACAATGTCTGGGTATAGTGGCCATATTTTTGAAATCTAAAATCAAGATATCTAGACTTAGACATAGTTAGAGAAATTAAATCACATTTGGCTATTCATTTAACCAATCACTTTACTGCAAACTGTAGAATAACAAGAAACAGAGGCAAACTTAGAAAATCTAGGACAAATAGGTTGCCAGACTATTGAGGCCCCACACTCATAACCATAATATACTCCATTTTGGATCTGCCACATTAAGCTAATGGAAGGCCCAAAAAACTCCCAGTGCATTTGTGACTTAAGTTGAACTTTGGATGCAGCCAGTTCAAACTCGGTGAGCTGGTGTTGGGAGTCCCTGAGGCTCTCTGTAGTCTCAGCCTGAAGCCTGATTCCTACAGTGGCTTCCAGGTGACAAGAGAAAACAGATAGCCCAGATTTTAGTTACAGGTATTCTTAGGAAGGACCAGAGTTTCTGGAAACTTTGCCAAAACTTAGGGAACTCTTAGAAGGTATAAAAGGGAAGAGAGCTGAGTACAAAATTGGATGGTGTATGTCTAAGGCTGACTTTAATTTTTGGTGATCATCACCAGTTCGTGCATGTTTTTAACCATGGCAGTAATTTATTAAAAAATAACTAGAAAAAAGGTAATTATTATTTCTGCCTGTCATTGGAGGGCTTAGCTTTTGCCGAATATATTATAAAATATGAGCAGTTCATTTCAAAAAGTGAATGTGAGTGCCAGTTTATACCCAAATTATACTCTGTCATCAACCCCGGTGAGGTGGCTTTGGCCCAGGGTCCTTTAGCTGACATTTGATGATAGATAGAATTGAGATTTTTAGGAATAGGAAGTAATATGCAGGAAGATTCTTGTTTATTTTTTAGATGTTTAAAAAGGAATTAGTGAATTTAACTAGCAGAACACTTCCTTTCTAGAGGACCTGTAAATCAGTGATTTCCATGTATCAGTCTGGGGACCAGTGCTGGTCCAGTTTTTCATTAATCTAAGGCAAAATGCAAAAAATGACAATACAGTACATCTACCTATCAATATGTATATATTTGGTATAAGGTTACCAACTGTCCTTTCTTAATAAGGACTGGCATTATGCTGCTATTTTATCCTTACAGATTTTTTTGGATATAAAAATACTCTTTTTTTAGGAACTTGTGATGAGAACAGAAAGTAGCGAAATAAAAAGTTAGCAACGCTATGTTGGTCCCCCACCCTTCTTTTTCTTACGTCTATTTGTCAATGAAATCCAAAAGTCTAGGAAGCACTACAGGAAAGCAATGATGTAATAGAAAGAGTTCTAGTTTAGGGAATGGAGAACTTAACCGTGTACCTTTTAACTTAACCATGGCTGTTAGAACCGTCTAATCTTCCATTTCTTTAGGTATAAAATAGTAGTAATAAGGATACCTACATTAAGGGCTATTGTGACGAGTAGACAAGATGTTATTTGGTATCAAAGTGCTTTGCCCATAGGAACAATCAGTAAATGGAGGCTTTCAAAATTAGGTTATGTGAAAGCACTTTAGAAATTCTAAAGTGATGTACAAATACAAGGTGCTATTGTTAGCCAGGATTTAAATTTTATTTTATTTTTTTTATTGTACTTCAGGTGAAGGCTTACAGAACAAATAGTTTCTCATGAAACAGTAGTACACATATTGTTTTATGACATTGGTTAACAACCCCACAACATGTCAACCCTCTCCCTTCTCGACCTTTTTTTTTTTTTGGTGAAAATATACATAACCAAAGATATACCATTTAAAAAATTTCTACATGCACAGTTCATTGACATCGACTATGCTCTTCCAGTTGTGCTGCTATTCTCACTTCAGATGAAGGCTTGCAGAACAAAATAGTTTCTCATTTAACAGTTAGTACACATGTTGCCCTATGACAATGGTTAACAACCTTACAAACACATCAACACTATCCTTACTCAACCTTGGGTTCCCTATCACCAGCTTTCCCGTCCCCTTCTGCCTTCTGGCCCTTGTCCCTGGACTGCTGTGCCTCATTAGTCCCATTTGGTTTCATGGGGCTGTCCACTCCCCGGCTGAACGGTGAACCTTGGAAATGACTTCACCACTGAGCTAAAAGGGTGTCTGGGGGCCATACTCTCGGGGTTTCTCCAGTCTCCTTTAGGCCAGTAAATCTGGTCTTTTGTTTTGTGAGTTAGAATTTTGTTCTACATCCTTCTCCAGCTCTGTCCAGAACCCTCTGTTGTGATCCTGGTCAGAGCAGTCAGTGGTGGTAGCCAGGCACCATCTAGCTGTGCTGGACTCAGTGTGGTGGAGGCCTTGGTAGCTGGGGATTAAAATTTTTAAAACATCAGTCAGATGATGAATAGCTTCCAAATTGAAAACCCGTGTTTTATCAAAGTAGCAGCAAACCTTTCACCATACCCAGCAAGTCAACGATGCTAACAAAACTGGCTGATTGTTCACAGCCTGGGGTGAATCATCATACAGGGCATGTTCCCAGCTTGACATTGAGTGTTCTCTTATCTGTACATTTCTAGTGAACTTTGAAGGGATGTTTTCTTTGAAACTGCTTGAAAATTTGCAAAGATTGCTTAAGTATACGGTTTCTTTCTTTCTGGTTTTTCTTTACAGCCAAAGAAGCCTAAAGCCCCAGACAACCCATTTCATGGCATTGTTTCCAAGTGTTTTGAGCCTCATCTCTATGTGTATATCGAGTCCCAGGACAAGTGAGTGATGAACGTTTTCCTGTTTTCTGCCTGCATTTCTCCCCCTCTGGTCATGGTTGGGCCTCATGAGGGCATAGTTCCTTCCAGAGGCTGAGGGAGGGACTTGGCATACCTGCGACCCTCCCTGGAAACCTGCTAAGGATATTTTTATATGTTTTGACTGTTATCATTTAGTGTGTCTATAAATCACAGAAGCCTGAGGTTGTCTCTAATGAGGTCCCAAATGGATCCCAAAACCGCTTCCCATGTGGGTGCTTGTATAGCTGCATATTGTCAGTCCATATGGCTTTACAATGTCAGGCATCGGAGAATATAGGAAGAAAGCTTAATCTCTAATGCATGTATTTGCAAATATAATTTTTTTAACTTTTCATTTTGAAATCATTTAGCTTTACAAAAACAGTACCAAAAATTCTCATATAGCTTTCTCTAGAGAATGTTAACTTCTCATATAACCACAGTTATCAAAATCAGGAAGGTACTGTTATCCCATTATTGTCCTTTTTCTAGTCCAGGATCCAATCATGCCTTTAGTTGTCATGTCCCTTTTAATCTTGAATAATTCCTCATCTTTTCTTTGTCTTTCATGACCTTGACACTTTTAAAGACTAGCTATTTTTACAATGCCCTCAATTACGGTTTGTGAGGTTTCTGCCTGATTAAATTCAGTTTATGCATTTTGAGGGGCAAGAGTCCCATACAAGTTTGGTTGTGTCCTTCTCAGTACATCATATAAGGAGGCACATCATGTTGATTTGTCCCATTATTGGTGATATTAGCTTTGATCACTCTAGTGAAGGTGGAGTTGGCCAGATTTCTCCTCTGTCAAGTCACTTTTTTTCTCTTTGTAATTAATAAGTATCTTATGGGTGGATACTTTGAGACTGTGTAAATATTGTTTCTCATCGCACTTTTACCCACTCACTTTAGCATCCCTTAATGACTCCTGCCTAAAACCGTTACTACTGTGGTGTCTGCCAAATTTTGTCTGTTTTCATCACTACTTCTACATTGATTAATTGGAATTCTGCTGTAAGGAGGAGCTTTCCCTTCTCCCCCCATTTATTTATTTATTTGCTTCTTTCTTTATGTCAGTGTAGACTTATGGATTCTTATTTTATTTTATGGATTATAATCCATTTAATATATGTGCTTTTCACAAACTCAAAGGCTCCAGAAAACTTATACAGGGCAGCCCACTGCAGCAGTTCCTTCACAGCCAGGAGAGTGTGTTCATGTTCTAAGACCCATTGCTGTTGGGAGGTCGTATTAGCATAGCAGGAAGACCTCTCCTCATCCCCGCATCCTTGACCAGAGCCAGAGTACCTGGTAAAGGCCCTTGCATGCTGGAAGGCAGACTTGGAAAGGTTGGGTTTCTGAGGCAGGCAGAGTTGACTGGTGTGGGCTCCGAGACATCTCTTAGCCTAAAGAACAGACTTAGGGGGACAGAAAGTGGCTCCCAAAGGGAAAATAGCAGCTGTGGGAAGGGTCTTTTTTTATTTTTTCCCATGCAAAAATTTATACATACACTGTTATGTGACTCTAATTGCTCTCCCCATGACAGCACACTCCTCCTTTCCATCCCTGATTCCCCATGTCCATTCAACCAGTTCCTAACCCTCTCTGCCTTCC